GTGTCCAAAATCCCTAGGGTAGAATGAGGAGAAGGGAATGCAGCATGGCCACCCCCCCGGGGGTGATTTCTCGCTTTCTATCTGTGTCTCTGGCAAGCGCACACACCCTATAGCAAAAATCTCGCAAAAACAAAACAAAAACACACATTCCATGGGTCTAGCCAGTGGCCTGGTTGGTTAAGGCGAATGGATCCCACATGGCTGACTGCATGGTTTGGGTCCTGGACCCAGCAGCTTGAGAAACATGCTGGGCATGTGTGTATGTGCCCACAATCCCGAAAGGGAGGAGGAGGAAGCACAGCATGCCATCCCCAGCGGGTCCTTCCCCACTTCCGTTTCCAGCCAGTGCATGTGCCCTCTGCCAAACTAAAAGGACAAACCCCTTTGAGGCCGTGAGCTCTTTCAAGCCGGGGGCCCAAACATGATGGCTGCCTAGTGCCCACACAGAGGGAAAGCCGGTCTCGTAATCACTCACAGTGCCTATGACATAAACAGACTTCTGGCATTTCAGAAGACTAGTAAAATTAAACAGAGTCGAAATCCCAATTCCTTAGTTGCACTGGCCACACAGGGGCTACTGCTACCACGTGGCTAGCCGCTCTAGACTGGCCCGTGCGGACGCGGAACTTTCCATCCCAGAGTCCTACGGACAACGCTGAAGTCAGTGGGGGAAAAGGCACAGAGCCAGGCTCCCGCTGGCGGTGTCGCATGGCCTACTCCAGCCCCAGGAGCCCAGGGGTCCGGTCTGATGCTTCTTGCGGTCAGGGTGCCTGAGTCCACGCTAGGCCTGGGAAGGCAGCCCACTCCGCCAGCAGCAGCTACCAGGAGCACACAGCGCTTTCCCTGTGACGCCCTGGCGGGAAGCTCAGCCCTACTGCCCCCACTTCACAGGCCACGCCCGCAGATCCCGGATTCGAGCAGTTCAGACGAGCAAGGTCAGCTTGGCACCCTCCTGCTTCACCTGCCCGGTGGCTGTGGATGCGGCCACGAGGGCGGTCCTGCCGGGGGCCCTGCAGGTGTGGAGCGCAGGTAGGCGCCCTCTAGTGACTGCGGAGCGGCCTCACCTCCCTCCTGGGCCGAGCTGACGGCGCCTCCTGTCCCCGCAGAGCCAGCCCAGCCCCAGGGTGCCTCGCCGGCCTCTCAGGACCGCCTGGATGCTCCTCTGCCCACCGCCGTCCACGCTGCAGGTAACAGCCACGTGTGGGGCAAGGGCGGGAGCGCCGGGCTCGGGGGCCACACGCTGGCTCTGTCCCCCCGCAGGGGCCTGGGACCCGGACCAGAGCAGCAGCTCCAAGACCGCTCTCGCTCTCGGGGAGCCTGCAGCCCCCACCGGAGGTCCTCGCCGTCCGCCGCCGCGGCCTTCTAGGCTTAGCTTGGGGCGCCGCGGTAGACCCTGCAGCCCCGACCAGGGCCAGGCCAGCGACCGCCACCGCCCAGGCAGCGACCACGACTACCTGCCCTTGGTGAGGACTCGGGAGGTGGAGGGCGGCGTCGCCAGGGCCGGGCGCCGTCTCAGCCCGCTCGTCCCCCACCTCCTCTCTCCTCAGGTGCGGCTGCAGGAGGCGCCAGGCTCCTTCCGCCTGGACGCGCCCTTCTGCGCGGCGGTGCGCATCCCGCAGGAGCGCCTGTGCCGCGCCTCGCCCTTCGCCGCGCACCGCGCCAGCCTCAGCCCCACCTCGGCCTCGTCGCCCTGGGCACTTCTAGGCCCTGGCGTGGGCCAGGGCGACAGCGCCACGGCCTCCTGCAGCCCGTCGCCCAGCTCTGGCTCGGAAGGCCCAGGCCAGGTGGACAGCGGGCGGGGATCAGACACCGAGACCTCGGAAGGGGCGGAAGGGCTGGGCGGGGCCGACCTGCGGGGCCGGACCTGGGCCACGGCTGTGGCCCTCGCGTGGCTGGAGCATCGCTGCGCCGCTGCCTTCGGGGAGTGGGAACTCACTGCGGCCAAGGCCGACTGCTGGCTCCGGGCCCAGCACCTGCCTGACGGCCTCGACCTGGCTGCCCTCAAGGCCGCGGCCAGGGGCCTCTTCCTGCTGCTGCGCCACTGGGACCAGAACCTGCAGCTGCAGCTGCTGTGCTACAGCCCGGCCAATGTGTGAGGGCCGCGGTGCCCCCACACTCTCACTCACTCACGTCACTGCCGTCCAGAGCCGGCCTCTCGGTGCTGGGGAGGAGTGGGCTGGTGTCAGCCTCGCACCACTGCTTTGTAGGCCCTCCCCAGAACCCTCGTGCCCACACAAAAAGTGCCTGCCTGCGCTCTCTCCCACGACCCTCCTCCCGGCCGAGCTCTGCACAGCAGCTCAAGGGGAGAGAGCACGGTCCCTAACCCTATGCAATAAAGTGCCTCCTGGAACTGCCTGAGTTCTTCGTGCCCGCCCCGCCTCCAGGTAGGCTGCAGAGGCCGCTTGGCAAGGTTTATTCAGAAGGGCGCAGAGTCCATCCTGCCCAGGGTCCCCAGAGTGGACTTCAATGGGCTTTCTTGCTGTGCTGGATGGTCTCGGGGAAAGGCTGCGGGCCCAGCCAGAGCTGCAGCAGGATGACAGCATGGCACACGTGCAGGGCAGCAGAGCTGCAGCACGTGGACGGGTACGTGTTCCAGGAGAGCTCGATGAGCCCCAGCACCAGCAACCTGCAGGTGAGAGCGAGGCTCAGGCCTGCCCAGTCCAGGGCCCGCTGCCCTGTGCTGGCTGGGCGTGTCCAAGGCATCCCGGCCGCCCTGCGCCACCCGCCACCCCTCCGACTACCTGAGCAGGTGTGTGAGCCAGCGAGCCGGTGTGGCCCACAGGAGGTAGGGCAGTGTGTGGAAATACCAGACGTAGAACTGGTAGTGGAGGGAGCGGCTGAAGCAGATGCCAATGAAGTTGGACGTGAAGAGGGTGGACACGATCTGTAGGCAGCGGTCAAGGTCAAGGGCAGGAGGAGGAGTTGGTCAGAGCAAAAGGTTTTGAGTCAGTTCCTAGGCGATGCCTTCCGGCAAGTTTCTTTACCTCTCTGGACCTGTTCCTTACTCTAACACGGTGACAGCAATACCTACAGCTCTAAGGCCCCGTGACTTTGCATCCCGCACTTACCAGGGATCGTAGGAAGTTACTGACCTCTTTTTATTTTTGCTATAGGATGCATGTGCTTGCAACAGACAGAGAAAGAGGGAAAGTGAGAAATCATCCCAGGGGGTGGGGAGGGAGATGGCCACGCCACAATCCCTTCTCCATCCTCCTCGGGATTTGGGGCACGCTTGCACACGCATTTGTGTTGACTCTCAAGCCACTGGGTCCAGGACTCAGATTCCAGTCAGCCATGTGGGACCCAGAACCTTAATCTCTATGCCACCTGCTGGTCCTTAAAGCCTTTATTTTGCCACCTGTCAAATGTGGACAATAAGAGTACCTTCCCATCTGAGGGTCTCTTGTGAGTTTTGATTTTTTGTTTGATTTTTAGAGAGATTTATACAGTAGGACACAAACACTTGCTGGAGAGACAGAGAGACAGAAGGCAAGAAATCACCCCCCAGGGGATGCCACACTGCAATCCCTTCTCCTCCATTCTCCTCGTGGGATTTCGGGCATGCACACGTATGTGCCCAGCACGAGGTTTAAATCACCGGGTACAGGACTCAAACTATGGTTGACTATGTAGGAGTCCAGCGATGTAACCATTACGCCATCTGCTGGTCCCTCTTGCGAGTTTTAAATGTTAGAATGCATGCAAATCTCCGAGGGCAGACCTAGGCCGAAGGCGGTTCAGTGGTTCCTGACGGCAGCGAGGTATTCAGAATCAAGAATCAAACACACACGCCCGGTGAGAGGGCTCAGAACAGTGGTGCAGAGTGGGGCTCTGTGAGTGGACACCTCTTCCCGCCCCAGGGCCATGAGCCATCCGGGGCTAACTGCCAGGACCCCGTGTGCGCCTGGGGAGGGCACGACTTACCTTCCCACGATTTAAAGGATATGATTGGGTGTGAGGGGCTGGGGCGGAACTTTCCTTTTGGAGGGATCCTTCAGCAGCGACAGGATACTTTCTCCTGTCCTGGGGAAAAGTCATTCAGATACTCATCAAGTCTCCATTGTGGGCCAAACTCTAGACTCATCCCCATGAGTTAACCTCTCCCCCCAGTAGCCCCTAAGGCCTAAGCCCTTTACTCCTTCCCCCAGCTCTGTCTACAGCACTGGCCCTTTCTCACCTGTGCCACCTGCAGAGGGCAAAGAGCAAGAGCAGGGTGAGGTGGGCGGCCAGCAGAGCCAGGTGGAAGGCACGGTGCAGGAAGAGGGCCTCCGGGAGAAAGCGCCAGTTCACAGTCCTTGGCGGCCCAGGTCAAAGGACCGGGACAGGTAGCCAACAGGGTTCTCCAGCAGGAAAGGCAGCCCCAGCAGCACCTGGGGAGGACGTGACGTCAGCAGGGCTGCCCAGGCTCACCGCCAGCCTTCACGCCAATCACAGAGGGGTGGGAGCAGGACAAAGGCCCCAGAGGTCCCCTGCTTCCCACCAGAGACAGCAGGGAGGCCACCCCCACCCCACTGGAGCCCGGGTCAGAGCCTGGCACCAAAGCAGCTGAGGTGGCGGGCGAGAACACTGCTCTTCGGTTTGGGCTCACCAAGGCACAGACGACAGGAGCTAGAAAGGCTGAGAACATCTATTTCAACAGCCTCGCGTCACAGCCTGGGAGCGGAAGCCAGACCGTGGTGCTCCAGCTTAGAATCAACCCCACAGCTCCGTCCGCAGGCCAGGTGACTGGCCCTCATGGGGAGTACCTGAAGGGCAGCACAGAGGCCCAGCTTGGGGAGGGCCCCACGGAAGCCGAACTGTGCGAGGAGGAGGAACAGCAGCCCGGGGGCGAAGAGCAGCACGTTCATCTTCACGGAGACTGCCAGGCTGGGTGGGCAGGGAGGGGAGCAGGTGAGCTCCAGGGCTGTGTGTGGCACCCAGAGACTGCCCCCACCATCACTGCAGCATCACCGCCCTGCAAGCCAGCAGGCTCCAAGGTGGGGCCCTCTGGAACTGCTGGGGAAGGGGCGCGGTGAGGGCGCCACAGGTTAAGAGGCAGGCACCTAGCCATGCCCAGCCTGAGCAGACATAAAACAGAGTATTCAGAAGGCTGGGGACCAGCAGATGGCATGGTGGTTATATCACTGGACTCCCACGTAGTCACCTGTGGTTTGAGTCCCGGATCCAGCAGCTTAAAACTCACTCCAGGCACGTATACGTGCGTACCCAAGATTCTGAGAGGAGAACAGAGGAGATGGGATTGGGGTGTGGCCATCCCCCCAGGGGGCAATTTCTTGCTTTCTGTCTCTGTGTCTTTCTGTCTCTCCGACAAGCACATGTGTCCTATAGCAAAAATCTCTCTTAAAAAAAGTAAATAACATGAGTTTGCAATCCTTCATGACCGAAGGCTACACTAAGGGGCAAGAGCTGGCAAAGTCCCAGGTGGGCTT